CCCCCCCCCCCCCCCCCCACAGACCCTAGTGTCATGGGTGTCAAAATTTATCCAATTCCCCAGAGAGTTGGATACATTGTGACACCCTTTTTTTTTCTTTTTGTTTTGTTTATATCAGATAATCAGTAAAATACAATTTGAAAATGGAAGAACTAAACCTGAAAGTCATTAAATAAGAAAAAAGTTTTATTTCAAGATAATTTATCATTTGCAGGAAAATAAAATACTCGAGTACACAGAAATTAGATTTATTGCAAACTTAAACACAAGAATAATAAATGGGAAGAAGAAACAAACAAAATAAACAATGAATGAAAGCAAGTGTAGAAGAGAAGACGTGAGGTCAAAACACTATATCTGTGTGAGCAGTGCTGATCCCCAATGAGTGAGTGTCATCGGACACCAGCGTATGGCTAGACCCGGCTACGGTTGATTACTCACTTCTCTCGCTTAGTGCTCAGACCAGACTCGGAAGGTTTTCTTTTTCTAAAATGAAATAGAGCGTTGACTTGATCGGACAAAAACTAGACTTTGGTGCCAACTAGATGCTTATTTGTCACCATCACAACCCCAGGCAACACCTTTCTCCTCCGTGGCAAGTCAAATGCACGTGTTGAGCTCCACCCACTGCTGGGACACCTCTGCGACAACTCCATGATAACAAAGTGTACATCGTGGCCCACGAAACCCAATGGCCGGAGTTGGGATTTGATTTTACTGAGTTTCTTGTCGTAAACATGTATACGGGTGAAACCCTCAAGAATACGAGCAGCAAAGAGCTCTCTCTCCTGTCCTAAAACATTTTGTCTAATTTTTACTGTTTACGCTGATATGAAATCTTTAAGAAGCCAAATCAAAATCTTATCCATACCACATAACCATCATCCAGTCTAAAGAGGTAACTGCTACCAATCCCTGTCTTCTCATAATTACGTTCCCTTATATCAGATACCTACTAGACAAAAGTTGAAGTTAGCATCACTCACAAAAGACTAACATATTTTCAAAAAACCAATAAGTATCTGCAGTGTGGTATAATGAGCACAGAGGATTCCTTACACAGGGTCGAATAAGTTCTCCAACATATTCAATAACGAAGTCCTCAGCCTCGATTGGCTCTAAGGCTACAAGACCCCAGTCATGTATCTTACTACGCTGAAAACACAAACGTTTTTTCCTTGCCTGATAATCAATGAATATAGAAGAGTTAAATAGTTGAACTTAGAAAGGAATGGACAACAATGGTCACTGCACTTTCTGTTTACCTTTAGTTGAGTTGCTTTTAGAAGATCAGCTCCCTCTGCAGCAGCAAGAAGGTTACGCATCTTGACCCGGTGAGTTCTGGCAGAAATTCCTTTGGCATTTAAGGATTGAGAACTGTTTCCATCATGAATGACAGGAAGAACGACACAGCAACTCCCCCTGACCTGAATCCTTTGAGCAGGAGTCGCACTCAAAGACCACTTACGCCATTCCCACCCATTAATGGACGTGCGAGCACATCCATCTGATTGAGGGCACCGTTTCCTTTTCCTGGATTTACCACTTCCTGTTTGTACAATAACCTCATTCTTTGTTGCTTGATTGGACGAAGAAACTGCATCAAGCTGAATTTTCTCCAACTTCACATCATCTTTTAGTTGTTCTAACCCTGGTTTTGCTAACTTGGTTGCTGCATACAGCATATTTAACCCACTCGTAAGTGGTTTGCACAAAATCAGTACTCCCTCCATCCCGAAATAAACATTACTTTCACTATTCGTAGGGTCAAACTTCATCTTTCGTTATCCATTTTCGTTACTTATTTGTTAAAATTAAATAATCATGTCACCTCTTGTTTTAGTACTTTTATAGAACTTTTGATGTAAGTTTTAATATATAAATTTAATTTACAATTATACACAAACATTGAAATAAATTAAGTTGAAAATAACTTAAATCAAACATTGTAAACCGTTTTGTCAACTTTATTCAGGGATAGAGGGAGTGTTTATTTATAATTGATTCCTCAAATAAATACAGTTGGGTAGAGCCAAAATGATGGAAAACAGAAATATGGAACTCACATCTTGGCATTGCTTCTGATACAATTTGCACTTCTTGTTTTTGGAAATCCAGATTCAAATTATGAGTAATATCAGCACTGAAAGTGTTTTCAGCAAGTACAGAGGCTTTTTGTTCAATGCTGTTTGCATAATTTTCACACCCTATAGTACAAGTATTTGTGATTCTCATTGTGATGCATCACCAAAAGTCATTGAAAGCCACAATGTACAATCTATAGAAACTATACCTTTGGTGACCGCATTAACCTTCACTGATTTCTTATTAGAATTTACATGAAATGATGAGCAGGTTTCAAGTGATTCATTGCAGGATTTGGGTTGAGTTTCTTTGGAGTTCATAACAGGTATTCCAAGCGTAGCATTCTCGGATACCCCACCCAAAGGATACCGCCTCTTTGATTTATCAATACATTTCTTTTTAGGTGCATCAACCCTGCTGGTCAAATACTGAGATAAAGAATCCAATTTTCTCTTATCAGGTCTTTTCTTACGGTGATAAATACATCTCCCTGTAGTCAAAGATGTCTCAGATTTGATCTCCACTTGATTTCTAACTGTCGCAAGTTTATCATGTTTCGGTTGGTCTATCTTGATAATTGAAACCTGAAAAGGAATTGTAAAAAATCAAGTGAGCATAAAGCCTTCTTAAAGTAGTTCTGTACTTAGGCATAGTAAGATAATAAAATTTCAATAACCTGACAGTCTTCTGGTTTTTTTGAAGAATGCATAGCCTTGAGAATTTTTTTAATTATTTTGTCAACAAAGAGCCCCACATCTCTCAGCACATTCTCATGTATCTTTTGCCTACAAATTGTCAGGACACTATGCCACATGATCTTTGAAACAGAATCATGATACCTAAAGATTGATAGTCTTGAAGTTTGTACAGGATATAATATTCTAGATTCGGGTGGTTGCAGCTCATCAACAACTTCATCACCTAAGTGGACAAAAAAATTCTGAAATGAACTTAATAATACATCTGAGATAGAAGGCTCATTTCTAGTAACAGTGTTATCATTCAATGATCCAGCTAATGGATCACAAATCTCAAAACCACCAGAAAGCAATTTCTTTGAGTTAAAAATCACGTCAGAACCATTTTGACTTGAAGGGTGATCATCATCATGCAATTTAGAGTTCTCCACAACCTGTAAGAAAAATATTGTTTGCTTCACTTTTGCTGAATTATAAAATAATAGCATATAAAAAAAAAGAGATCCTCAATTTGAGAAAACATTGAACTATTTTTATTCCCATTGGGGGTTAGGAGGGATAGAAGCTTGAGTTTTCAGAACTGACTCAATACAGATATTTAGCACCTTATTATGCTGGACATCCTTTGAGGGGCCATCAGCATTTTTAACCGCTTCCTTGTAAATGAGATCCATGAAATGATTTTCCAATGAGATCTTGGCAGACATGTGCAGATCATTCAATACACTATCATGGATAGATCCTATGTCATCAATTTTTGTGTGGTCTAGTAACATGTTGCCTCTACATGACACTTCTTCATCAGCAGTATGCAAACACTTTGTTGGTAAAATTAAACATACATCATGTATCTCCATCACCTGCTCATAACCTGGGGGGTAATCGATTTCACAACCAGATGAGTTGCCTTGCTGTAACTGATAACAACAGATTGGGCATAAGATATATAGACAAGTGAAGAATAAATTTAAGTCAACCAATGTATTTTTATCACCTGCTCAAAACCTGGAGGGTAATCAATTCTACAATCTGACGAGTGGTCCTTTTTTAACTGTAAACACCGGATCAAGGATAAGATAAAAAACAAGGGCTAATAAGACATAACAAATTAACAATATGGAAACACTCACAGCTTCAGTATGTAACTTTGGGTAGTGTACAAGTGAAGACTCCAAAAAAGTACTTGATTCCACCAATGCCTGGAGATCTGATGAGCGCTTTCTTTTCATCCATACAGACGAATAATCTGCTGTGAGATCATAAAAGACAGCATTCCATATGACTTGCATGCATGCCTCATAAAGTATTCTGCAAACAACTGTATAGGCAGCACAAAAATTCTGATAATCTCCAACAGATTTTGTGCATTGCCGGGACATTAAAGCAACCTCAGCCACACAAGGTTTCTGATGATCAGTATCAGACGTTTCTGGTCTATTCTCACAGGCAATACCTTTCTCATCCTTACCCTGACAACAATGTAGATACAAAAGATATAAGCAAGAAAAAGTACAATAGCATGCAATATTCTTTATACATGCAATACTCCACTCTATCTAACTGTGTATTCATTACCATTGTGCTATCCTCAGAATATGAGTTAACACATTTGTCAAGATTTTCACTCCTAACTTGCTTGTCTTCTTCAGTTGCGACATGCACTGAAATTATTTGTCTAATGATTTCCTCGAGCACAGTTCTACGAGCAGATTTCATGATCCCTGAGTGAAGCTGCGAACATAGTTCTTCAGCTATTTGAGTAACAAAGCCTTGTAGAGAGACATCCTCCTGCAAAACGGCAGTTGACAAAGATGCATCTCCAGGTACCGTTGCTACCCAAGTGCTTAGTAATGATTGTAAAGTACAAGGCTGGAATGTTTTGTCAGAACGATACACCTGAAAAATGCATAATGAGGGAAGAACATGTCTGAGAATGAGCATTCAAAATAAAAGATGCAATACATGGAGTTCTCCGTAACGTGTGAAGTTCTTTGGGGGGGGGTTAAGGGAGTATTATACTAGATTAGACAAACTCAGAACCAAGAGATGCTTGCATTTACTAGATGAGCTACACTCAGTGATGGACAAGGCATCAGATACATGGACAAAATAACCACACATAATAGAAGGGTATAACTAAATTTTGAGATTTTTCCTTGTCCGCATTATTACTATGGTTTGGAAGAGATCCCATCAACTAATTTTTTTAGTTTTTTAGACCTATGCTTCAAGAAAATAAAATTAGGACCCCATTGTAACTAATTGAAAGCCCTTGTACGCAAAAGTATCCTTTTTCTGTACATAAATGTAACTAAGTAAGCTATTAAATAGAAACAGTATAGAAATACATAAACATTTTTTTCCTTAACTTATAAGTAATAAATCTAAATACAAACGATCCATAGAAAATATCGGCAAGCTTCCCATCACCACCATTGTCAATTCCAACTCTAAATCTCTAATGCAGACCTATCTTGATATCAAATTACTTAAAACCCATCTTGAAGACAAATTACAAATATGGAAGCAACTTAAAAGGGTCAATGACACATTAAACGACAGTTGCTTCTTACTTTTAAAGAAGTTTATGTTGTAAAAGAAGCAAAGCGCCGTGGGTCAAATGGAAACATCCACTCTTTTTTTAAAGAGGTAAGATTGTGTACATTCTAACCACATGGAGTGACGCCACATACTAGAGTATATGAAAATGGAATATACATCCTTCACCATTTTTTGTCCTGTTCGTTGACACTTGGAATGCTACTTCAGTGGTAGGGCAACAGAGTCAATGTGGAAGTTAGGATTGAGTTACACCCACTGCCTATGAGAGCCAAGTTTATGTATTTTACTTCGGTCATTCAGGCAGATGGGGAGATAGATGAGGATGTTGTTGGATCTGCTTGGGCAAATTGGAAGCTGGCATTAGGGCTCTGCAACTAAAGATTAGAGCAAGGATGAAAGGGAAGTTCTACCAGTCGATTGTCCGACTAGCTACTGCTCTACAGAGCGGAGTGTTGGACGGTTAAGAAATCCCACGTTCGTCAACTGCATGCAGTAGAGATGCGGATGTTGCGGTGGATGTGTGGGCAGATGAGGTTGGATAAGATTCAAAACAATGTTATACAGGGACTAATCGGAGTGGCACCTGTGGTGAATAAGCTACTAGAAGTTAGGTTTCCGTGGTTTGGGCAGTGGGAACGTGAAGTAGTGAAGCGCCTAGGTGCGGAGATGTGAGAGTCTTACGCTAGTGGGAGGGGGTGGATGAATGGGTAAACCTAGATAGAATTGGAGATATGATTTGACATAAGTTAAGTTCTCTAACCCTTACCGAGGATATAACGTTAGATCTAGGAATAGGATAGTTGGATAGTCGATTGGGCCATAGGCCTTAGTTGTTCATGTCGTGTGTGCTTTCTTTGCTTGTTACTTTTTGTCTCTTTGCACTTTTAGGTATGCTTAGTCTGCTCTTTGCATATTGTGTTCCTGCTTTGTGCGCCTTCGGTGTTGCTCAAGTCGGGTCTCTTGTAAACAATCTCTCTACTTTTGAGTAGGGTATGGTATGCTTACACACACCCTTGACAGACCTTGCTTTCGTGGGGATCTACTGGGTTGTTTATATATACATACACACACACACACATATATATTCAAATTAAGATTGATTTTTTAAATAAATTGAATTGAGAATAACTACAATCAAACATCATAAACCGTAAGACATAAGTGGAACCTTAACTCGAGATGGATTATATAAAAACCTTTAATACAAAGCTCCAGGAACTGAACATTCAGAATGTATATTAATGGAGGTATTATTAGGCATTATAATGACAAGTCCCCACTTTGATGTTAAGAAATAGGCTCTTCATTCTTTGTTGTTATTTGTTATATGTGCAAGGAGGGTCAACATCTGGTAGAGAGAAAGGTTATAGGAAAAACATAAAGATGGACGTAGAAAGTGAATAGGGTTAGGCAAAAAAGATCAGGGAGTTGCCAAGCAATAGAAGAACATAGGTAATATAGATTCTGTTTGGTTCAAGGCGAACATAGGTTCTTCAAATTTTAAGAAGGGTTTCACCCTGCTTGGGAGGTAGTTTGGTGACAAAAACCTAGATTTTGAGAGCCTCCTAACCGGTGCTTCCAAAGGCTGAGTTCTCTTTAAATGTAATTCAATTAGAGAACATCTATTCAAACAGCCTTTAATTAAATTTATCTAGGCTCATAATAGTTATACAAACAACATTTTTTGGGTTCACCCAACCTGGTTTACATATGTTAGCGCGAGCCAAATGGAGTACTAGGGCTCTAGGGAATTACAAGCAAGGACTATTAATGGTATTTTGGTCAACTCAATGTCTAAAAATAAAAGGTCATATTGATGTAGTCACTTAAAAAGAATTGATATTCGGATCAATAACAACAGACCGAGTGAGGTCAGCGAAGTGTGTGTAACGCAAACTCGTCCCTACCCAAAAAGTAGAGTGTTGTTTCTAGGATACTCTAGGCTCAAAACCCTCTATTTAAAACATTATTCTTCTAAAATGAAATAGCAGTTGATATTTTAGCCAATAAGTCACTATTTTCATGAAAAATCCAATGATTCAACATTTTATTGGACAGAAAATAGATCAGCTGCATTATAGAATGGAGAAACATATATCAAGTATATTCATATTAAATCAAGTTAAAATTCACTACGAACTGTGAGTCTAAGACAGTTCAACAACAAAGTCATAAATTTGGATTCTGAAATAAGGAAACTAAACGAAAGACATTTCATAAAGTCCATATCTATAACCAAATATCTTCAAAACATTCTTTTCAAGTGTGTTTGACTGCCATTAACTTTTTGTTTTCTTTAAATCTACTTTTTCATGATGTGACATTATATCCTATTTTCATAACTTTGTGCAAGAACCATTTTCATAGTCTTATAGGATAGAACTGGAAAATTGATGGCAGATCCTTTAATTCTTTAATACTCCATATTTGTATTAAAAAAATATGAGCTTTAAATTCAGGCATAACGAATAACTTTTCATTATGTAGTTCGCACAAAATGAGTAAAAAAAGGAAACAATAATTTTGTAAAAGCTCATTTTATCCAAAAATAACACAACACAAACCGCTCAAAAAAAGATGCAACACTTCATAGCTTCTTGAATTGGATGTTTCAGGAACACTTTGAGATTTGCTAAAATGCTACTCCAGATCATGCAAACCAGTAAAGCACTGTACTTAATAAATAAATAAATAAATATAACACTGTAAAAAGATAGCACACTAAAACGCTGAGCTCAGCACCCCTTAATCATGTGCAAGTGGAAACTTGTTTCATGTTTCCCTAGAAACAGCATATGCATTGTTCATTGCATACTTTCTTGAGTCAATACTCAATAGCCAAAATTTTCTATCTGCAAGCTATTTTGTTGTGCAAATATAACCGCAGGATTTTGTGGTGTAACTTCCCTATGTTACATCTGTTAAAATGGTACCTCAATGGCCTTTGAAGTTCAAACAAAACACAACAAGGTCAAACTATTTTTGAACAAACCAAACTTCTATGGAACCAAAGGTAGTTTGATCCCTTCTATTTCGGACTTCAAATGAATTTTTGGACAGACTTAAATGGGACTGATATTGAACAACTCATATTTCTATGGGACAAAAATCAATTCCTCCCATTTTACAATAATCTTAATAGGAACTTTTCCAGTCATATTCAAGACTGCCAAACAAAAGAGACTGAAAGCGCTTTCCACTTAGCAGTTGAATTTTACCAGAGCCTGGTGGGCTGGTAATATTTTTGAAAGTCAATTGCACAATTCCACAGAATTTAACTAGCTTATCTGAGAAATCCAGAAGTGGAGAACTAAATAAATACATCAAATATGCAAATCCATCTTTGTGGTGAAATTCATATTTTGGACCTGCATAATCTGAAATATGACTTAGGCACTTAGCACTAAACTTAAGCTTATTGTAAGTTTAGACTTCCTAAATCCTAGCCACAGCTCCTTTTTCTGCACTTCCCTTTTTTCTGAATTCAAGACCCAATATAATCCGAAATTGACTATCTAGTCATGGACTCACAGGCTGATATCTTTAAAGCAAATTCTCTACAAATTAAGGGAATGTTGCATGAGTTTTGTTTCCATAATAGCATCATCCTGGCATGGTTTTAAAAAAGCACTTATTAGGCCCAGTTGGTATTGGCTTAAGCCTCCTTTGTATAATAAGGGGCATATTTCCCAAAGGAAAAGTCTTACGCCATAAGGCTCGCCTCAAGGCTTTTTGTGAGGCAGAATTTTTTATGGGCTGAGACTATAAGTAATGCTTCCCGTACATTAAAAAAATACTTAGTAATAAATAAGAAACCACATATCACAAATTCTTCTATCTACTATGCCTCTCCCACGACTCCAAGACTTAGCAATCGGCATCGGTACATCATGATTTTTCTTTTCCCTTTTCCCAAAAAATGAAGTTTACACTTCTTACTTTCCTATGAAGGAAAACAATATGCATCTCAAAACATTTCCCTCTTCTAAACAAATTCCAACCACTTGCATTTTACTTTTAAATAAATTCAAAACTCAAGACTCCAATTGGACACATCATGGTGAAGTATTAGCAAATCTGAGGAGAAAAGATGAGCTATACACATTTGCGTTGTAACTATTTTTATTTCTTGGTACATTTTAAGGCTTATGTTTTGTCTCGCCTCTCCCGAACAAACATTGTCCACACCCAAATCAGCCTTTTTACACGTTGGCACCTAGCACATCTAGGGTGTCTAATCCGAAGCCTGGTAAGTTCACAAAATGGGTCCCTAGCCATCTAGAAGTGAATCATTCTTGGGCTGCCCAGTGGGCACCTAGACCGCAGCCTAGGCCAGCTTTTAAAGCAGTATCCTACATAATGATCAATGTCTAGAGTAAACTTGAATGAGAGCACAGCTTCCCATTCATTCAAAATGGGAAACAAATAAGTATGGGTAGAAATAATATACATATCATTATTCGACAAAAAAGAAAAGGGATGAGAGTTATGGAGTATTCCCACATATGAAACATAGCTTACGGAAATGAATGGTTATTGTTATTTAGTCATGCTGCTAACCATTATTGAATCCCTAATATATCCATAGTGACACCATGTATACAGATCTACGAGTGAATGTGGTCCATGTTTCCTCCCATCTTCATCATCAAAGAGCCAACAAGATTCTCCACCATGCTGTTTCAAAGACATAGAGAAAAGCAACTGATGAGATAGTTTATGTAGTGTTTACAATAAGAAGAGTATGCAATCAGATAAGAGTGCAAAAATGATAGGAGCGGAAATGAAGTAATATTTCCAGCACTTATTCACATGAAAAGAGAGAGCCACTTCAAGATTATGAGGGAGAATACCATGTACAAGTGTGGTGGAGCTGTAAGGGTGACAGAATCAGCAGTGAGCATATGATGATTTGAAATAAGTTTTTCAAAATGAGCTGACTTCGATTGAGAGTTATGACCACTTGAACCAGATACTGCTGTGTTTAAATATGCAAAGCCCGTGGCAACATGATCTGGAAACTGACTAAAGTACTTCAAGGGCACTGGACTAGCAAGTGCCCCATTAAAGATAGGATATACAGGAAGTTCATCGGGCAAGAAACCCGTGGACAACCCCTCATATAACTGTTCATGTATGTATGGACCACACATTTGACCTTGTTGATTAACATACATCCATCCAGTGACCTGTGAAGGTAAAGGATGCGTAGGGCAACCTTTATCTTCGTGTGAAGTATCACCAACTTCACAAGGCAGCAAACGATTTGCCCTGTCTTCGGTACTTGGACAGGTCATACCCACACCGGATGGTGAACCAAAATGTTCATATGAGTTGCAGCGGTAAGATGAAAAACGAGCACTCCTCGAGCAACTGGAGATTACAACGAAGCAGGGACACGCCAAAGATGCGGAGAATGCATCCCACACGGAATAAGAGCTCGGTGTAGATGTTCGGAAGAAGTAGGCGGATATGAATCCGGCGGTGATGTTGGATCGTGGTGCCTCGCTGCAGCCTGCAGGTAGCCAGTAGGCTTCTGGTTATATTTTCGGGTGAAGATGAATGACGGAGATGGCGATAGGGAAAGCTAGGAAGCTCCACACTCGTTCACAGGACCGCGGTTAAGATGCTCAAATTGGTTTGGGACATAGGGTGAGAATGTGAGATCTTTCAGAGTAGCCGAGTAGGGTTTTCCTTTTTTATTTCTCCTTACCTAAATACCAGTTTTCCATATTTAGTCCTTTATTATCAAATATTACTATCTCATAGTTCTTTTTTTAAGGATATCTTCCCACAAATAGTCATTTTTTTTAATCTTCTATCGTGTTGGTGTTAATTTAAAGGCTAAAAGTATAATTTGACATCAACATTATGTTTAGTGACGTGTTCTGATATTGGTTAAGCGAATAACACAAAAATAATGATTATGGTTGTGGGATATGGTTCTAACGAAAGACCATATTTGTAGACTATGGTTGTAGTAGAAAGCAATTGTAATTCACAAACGACGCAAACAAAACAGCCTTTGAAATTGTGTATGACAAAAAAGATATATTATCATTGTGAAATTACACTTTTAACTCTCAAATTAACACCAACATGATAAAAGATCATAAAAAGGACTGTTTGTGGAAAGATACCCATAAAAGAAAGACCACTTGGATAATATTTAATAATAGAGGACTAATTAGGAAAACCCCCTGTTATAAAGGACCAATTATAGAATTTACTCTTTTTTTTACTTCATATTTCCCGAACCAAATCATATATTAAAAAATTATTCTTCTCGGTTCCATAAAACCTTCCCCTTTTGTTTTTTTCAATTCCTTAAAATACTTTCACTTTATATTAAAAAACCACTTTTACCCTTACTTTTTCCTACCCTACCTATCACATCATACTTTTTCACTAATAACCAAACTATCACATCTTACTTTTGCACATCACATCAGGAGCAAAATTGATGTTCAACTAAAATTACATTTTTCTTATTTTGGCACAAAGTCAAAATAGGAAGGGTTTAAAGGAACAAAGAGAGTATAAAATTAATACTATTCTTATCTTTCTTTCATTAAATAATATGTTTATTTTCAAATTTCGGTTCAAGTTTTATTATTGGTAAGTTGTTGGAATTTAACTACATTGCCCTATTATTCTCGTAGATCTCTCAATAATTATGGAAAATAATACTGAAAAAGAGATAAGATTAATGAACTCAAAAACTAAAGAAAAAGAGCTCTTCTTTATTCGAAACCTTTAGGGGTATTTATAATATTATTGTAGGCTTTTCATATAAAATTAAGGTAATTTTTCATAAGGGCCTGTTTGGTTGGTTTTGGAGATTTGAAAAGATATGTATTTTGAAATCTAAAAGAAATGATATAGATTTTGACATCTGAAAAAGAATATTTGGAGAAAATAGAAATGAATACTAGTTTTATAACGCCACAAAAATAGGCATATCAGAATTAATTAATTGATAAACTAATTAATTACTAAGAAGGATCCAAAAATAAGTGATTTATAAAATTTGTCAATAAATAATGAAAATTATATCGTTATGTAGAGTTTGACTGTCTGACCACAACAATTCAATCGGATTTTTTTAATTTGAAAAAAGTTGGAGCAAAAAATGTAACCCGACTGGGACCAAAATTAGTCCCAATCAGGGAACGACGTGTGAATATCTCAGAAGCCGATTTATGCTGGTTGAAGATCGGCTAATTGATTCCTGACTCAGCATCTTGTGGCTTCTCCTCCATCACTTTTCTATATAAGCCATACTCACCAATTTCATTTCTTCACCAAATCATCATATTATTCTTCCTATCCTGTTGCTCTAAGTGTGAGGAATGTTGTGGTGCTGTCAATTTGGTGTGAAGTCGCCAGAGCTAGTTACAAACCTCGCTGAAAGTTTTGCCAGAAATTCTCAAAACCTTCATTAAGCTTCGTGGTAAGCCCGTAGATATATCTAGTGACTAGAATGTTTGTATAAATCGTTTCCATGTTTATAAATGGTTGTTTGGTTGAGTTTTGTGTTTGACATGCTTGAAGAACCAAGAATCATAAACCTTGAAATTGATGTTAAAACTAAGAATTAATGATACCAAAATGATCTATGAACCTTAAACTAAAATTCATTTAAGAGTTGGTAAACATTAAAGAAATTGACCTTAGACTAAGAATAGTTTAAGAATATTCAGAGGCAGATCTATGATTTTAAGGCCATGGGCCCCCTACCTAACTACCTTCCATTTTCATGTCAAACTAATTCATAAGTCTTAACATTTAACAATAAATTAAAACTAATATTTTAAGAGTACCATAATTAATACATGTAAATAAAGTCATACAAAAACAACATCGTTTACAATTGTACTCGTCTAGTTTTCATACTTTGGAAGTGATTTATCATTACATCATCACTAATGGTGGAAAAGACATCTTTCTCAACATAAGTTACTAAGCAGTCATTCAACCATTGATCACAAATTTTATTCTACAACTCATTCTTCACGAACTTCATTTCCAAAAAAGACCGTTAAACACTTGTTGTTGCCACAGGAAGTATCAATGCCAACTTTATGACAGCATATACGAAACCATATGTAAGAGACTTTTTAGTGGAAACCATTTTCACGAAAGCTCAACAATACTCTTTAAATTGTTGAATATATGGTTAGAGCGAACATCCATGATATAATTCTCAAGCTGATTCTCCAAAGTCACACGATCAACTCCTAAAAATTCGCTCGGGTAAAATTCAGTCATTCTAAGTAATGCTTTCTTGTCAAATGCTTCAAATGAGGAAGATGGATTCAAACAAGCTAGAAAGCTCAACAACTCCGTACTCGCCACATCGAATCGACTATCAAGCTCTTCAATAAACCTATCAATAATCTCAAACAAACAATCTACTTTATAGTGATGTATGTTTGATATAATAGGAGCCCTGCGTGCAGAAGTGTTCACTTTAACATATAAATCATTCATATCAGGCACCTTAAGAGAACATCTCTCACAAAACACTTAAACCTTTTGGAAAATAAGATTCCATCCATCGTCTGATCACATGCTCTGTAAGCGTGATTTTGCAATCTCAACTAGTTTTAAAGCATTCAACAAATCTTCTTCACGTCTTTGCAATGTTATTGATCAATCCCAAGTGACACCCAAAACCTCAACCATTACATGAAGCATGAAAGAAAATTCAAAAGTTTGCAACTCTGTTAATAATGACTTAGCTTCTCCACTTCTATTATGAATTTGCAAATGCTCAAGTACATCAATAATAGATCAATAATAGATGGAAACAAATTTTTCAAATTCAAAAGTGTTCTGTAATGTGAACCCCAACGGGTGTCACCCGGTCTTACCAAAGTTAATTGTTGATTTAAGCCCCGACCTGTTTTCAATCATCCTTCTGATAAAGCACTTGCTAAATTACCCGCTTGCTTCTCTCGGAGGATATCTTGTCGTTTATTAGATGAAGCAATTTCATTAATAACACGACCAACATGGAGAAATAACCAATTAACTTCAACAAGTCCTTTCAAAGATGCAACAAGAGAGAACTAAAGTTGATGAGCAAGACAATGAACATAGTAAGCATATGGATTTTCATTTTGAATTAAAGTTTTCAACCCACCAAGCCTTCCACGCATATTACTTGCTCCATCATAGCCCTGTCCCCTTATATTTGATATACATAACCCATATTCGGATAATGTATGCTCAAGTGCTTTTTTTAGAGAAAATGCAGTAGTTTCTTTGACATGAACAATGCCTAAAAAGTGTTCTAAAACAAAACCCGTGTCATCAACAAAACGCAAAAAAAAAATAGTCATTTTCTCTTTACTAGCAATATCACCAGATTCATCAACTAATATAGCAAAAAGGTCATCTCCAAGTTTTCTAAGAATTTCTTGAACGGTTTCAAATTCACATGCATAACACAAGTCTTTTTGAAATGTCAGTGAAATCATCTGATTATTTAGTGGAGCATTTTTTATTGATTTATCCAATTCAGAGTCACGCATCCTCAGTAGTTGTAGAGTTTCAAGAAAATGACCTTTATATGAAGACTCAATTGATTCATCATGCCCCCAGAATGACTTTTGGGTTGAAAGGGTCCTTTTTGAAGATAACTACGACGTACCTCATCTTGGAAGTTTGGATGAAAGTCAGAAATTTTCTTTCTTAATCCAGATCAGCTTCCAAAGACTCAAAATCAAAGTTTCTCTCAATAGAATTGCATTGAGTGCTTTCCCGAACATGTGTAGGTTGAGTCACTTGAGTGCCTTCTTGAATAGGAGTAGATTGAGTATTTTCTTGAATAACTAAAGATGGAGTATTTACTTGAGGCACCGGAGCGGTAACATTGTTACCAATTCCACTCGACTCTGAATCTTTAAATTTGGCTACTTTTTTGAAGTACCTTTGCATTTTGAATTCTATAAATCAGACATAAAATGAACATTAATTTAATGATATTTACTAAATACTAATCATATATTCATATATCAAACTACAAAATTCAAACTACCATAAAATAATAAAAATTAAATTTAGTAAAATAAAGAAAAGTTTTTACCTTACCGCGGGAGTGACGGAGACCGGAGACATGAAGAAGATGATGCAGGTCGCGGCGGTCGCCCATTGCTGGCGGCCTGGCGGGTGGTCGGTGCCTCGGCGGTCGGCAAGTCACGGTCTCGCGTGTCGCGTGGGCTGGGCAGCAGAACGGCAGATTGGGAGCTTTATGGTTCCAAAATAAAAAATGTAAAATAAAGAAGTGGGGAAGAGAGGAGAAATTTACTGAGAAAAGGGGGAGAGCAAAACGACGTCGTTCGATTTTTGATGCTTATAAAGAAAAAGTTGACTGAGAAATTGTCTCCAAAAAAATCAAGGGCTGGGACTCGAACCTCCATCCCTGGGGAGTAGCGATAAAGTGAACTTCTACTGAACCAAACGCACTTCTATTTACTAAGTGACAAGCTTTTTTTATATATTACTCCCTCCGTCCCATTTTATAACGCCTGTTTTGGTTTACGATATTTGACTGAAGTTATTTTCAAATCATTTTATATGACAAATGGTATAGAATTAAAAAATAAAAATTACATATCAAAATACTACATCAAAAGATCTACAAAACTAGTAGTCACAACAATATTTTATTTTATCAATTTGCTAATGAAAATAGAGAAAGAAAGTGAATGAAGTTTGACACTGTGAATAGGCATTATAATTTGGGACGGAGGGAGTAATATTAATACATACCTAATACCTATATGGACCTACACCGGGGTCCGTGGGGTCTCGGGACCCCTTGGGACTCAAGGTGGGTCCGCCTCTGAGTAAATTATTGATGAATGTTGAATATAAATATGAATGGTGAATATTGATTATTGAATGTTTGAACTGAACATTATGTGCATGATATCAAATGATTTGATTATGGATTGAGATTTATTTTATATGGATGTTTGACGCATTAGATATGCTTACTCAGCTTTACTGCTGAGCGTGTAGTATGTTTTATTTGCTACACGCAGGTAAACAAAAAGAATGAAGTGACGATTTCCTGGAGGCAGATGAGGCGAGTTGGTCGTGATGGATGTGTGGATTTGAATTACTGTTTTAAAATACATAAATTTATTATATTTGTAATTGTGATTTATTGAGCTTCCACAACTTTAAATACTCTATTATTATTCCAAATAATTTATTATGAAATAAAGTTTTAAAATACTTGAAATATTTTGAATGTTTTCGAATACCAAGTTTATACTTTAATCCAAAAGGAGTTCTGGACCTAGACAGATTAGGGTGTTACAAGTTTGGCGAGCAATTTAAAAGAGTAAATTCCATAAATGTTCCCTAATTATAGGTGATTTTCCATATTTAGTCTTTAATTCTTAGATATTACGGAGTATACTACTTATAAAACAGTTTTCAAAAATTGGAGTTCATTTATGCAATATCTAAGATTTAGAGGATAAATATAAAAAAATTCCATACAATTAGGGAGCATTTATAGAATTTACTAAATTTAAAAAGAAAAGAAATTTTAGGTATTTCAATTCGTTTTTCTATTTAAAATTTTTATTAGAATAGTCCATTGTTTTTTTGAGGAGTCCACAATTTGAATGTGAGGCCGATTTCTTTGGGGAAGAAGACGAACAAGTCAAGAAAATCCAAGCCAAAAACCAAACATGCCTTAAATATGAAAAGCATACAATTTTAAAGTGAATCTTGAAACTATAGGTCCATTACCAGCACACAAACCAACCATTAATTTTCGTTGATACCAACACAGAGCCACAGGCTGATTTAATGGTTGACATCCATTTCATAAAATCCGCGGCAGCAATTAGAACCATCGAGCCTTTGGATTGGTCATGTCAAGCATTGAACAGGCAAAAGACCAAGCTCAATAAATTTCTCTCTTTGAATTATGATATGAAAAACATTGAATACAGAAAAGGAGAGGTTGATGGTGTTCCAATGTTTGCACGAGAGAGAGAGAGAGGGAGAGAGAGGAAGAGAGAGGGAGAGAGAGGGAGAGAAGGAGAGAGAGAGAGAGAGAGAGAGAGAGAGAGAGAGAGAGAGAGAGACTTCAGCAGTACATCACTTACCAAGTAAAAGAAGGAAGAACATACGTTGGAAATCCATCATATTTTAAAGCAAGATCACGAACAGACGTATTATCTGCAACTTCTCCAAAACCATCAAGTCCAAGTTCAGTAGCATGGATCCCACCAGTAATAAATACAGAAGAGATTCCTGCTGAATTTGCACCTTTAATATCATGGTGAAGTGAGTCTCCCACAGCAATACACTCAGAGGCTTCTACACCAACCATCTCCATAGCCGTGTTGTATATAATCTATTATGAAAAATATCACAAGACCAAACAAAGATGCTTAGGCAATTAGTTTTTACTATGGCATGCCAAATATGTACACATACATGTGTGGAATATTAGACATTTCGGTCTAGCCACCCGCCAGACTTCCTCCAAGATAGAGTTTTATTCTACGAGAACTGCAGTAAATTAGGTCAAGGGAGGAATTTGTTGGGATATCTCCCTATTTACAAAATATGAATTATGTTGAACTTTATTTTATTTTTGGAGTGAAGAGAAGATGAAATAAATCAAAGAAAAAAAAAGGAAAGTGAAGCATTTCGGCTAGGTGAAGAAAACTAATGTAAAGTAGGATATTGTTGATTGGCAGCTAAAAAGAGAAAGGTGGCAAATTAATGTTTTCATCCTATGCATGGCAGAGAAAGACTTAGAGCATATTGTGCTAAAAAAGGAGAGATAGCTTTAGAATGCTTGTGCCTCTCCAACATGTAAAGAAAGAGAGTGAGGGCCAAGAGTGTAGAGAGATGTAGTCTCCAATGTGATGTGGGAGCAGAAGGCAAAGGTAAGGGAATCAAGTACAGGAAGAGCTGAAAAACATGTTCTTTTATTGAGTAATGAACAATTAGAAAACATCCTACGTATGAGAAAATAAAGTATGCAATCCTATGTGTGAGGCATTAAATGACAAAACCAAGTGCTCCAAACTATGTGCTGTGAAGAACTGTGTGTTTGTCCCATACAGAAGAAGCTAAAATGAATCCCATCTACAACTCCTGTGTCAATGTCTGCACTAAGACCCTTAAATCTAATGACAAGAAAACAACCACAATCCTGTGAGAATGCCTAAACAGCACTGACTGCTCATGACCTCCAAGCGAAAACTTTCAAACTAAACTGCTGAAAAGTCATCCCTTATGGCCCTATATGCTGAAGCACTTGTGCCAAGGCATAGCTAAAAAAGAATCAAACCCAAAGAAAGATGAAAACCGGAGACGCCAAACTGCTGCAACTGGAAACCACCCATAGGATACTGAAGAAGACAGGCGACAGAGTCGCACACCTCAGGCGAAGGAATAAGGCGTTAGAGGCACAAGCCCAGGAACCCCTCAAGGATGTATCCTCGATTGGGTTAAATCAGACTGAAACCTGTTGCTTCAGCGCCTCAGGCGCCTTAGGTGAGGGAAGCGAGCGCCTTTCGAAACTATGAGTGTAGATTAATATGTTATCAAAAAATAAACAACCAATACCGACTTCCTCAATAAGGGTTAAAGAACATCATTCATTCAACCTTGGAAAAGAGTAATGAACAAGTACAAAACATCATGTATATTGAATGGCTACGAATGTCCTATTTATAAGAAAATAAAGTTGTCCTAACACATGTGACTGCTTTCTAAGACAGTGAATTACTAAACCATGTGTTGTGAAACTTTTATAAAGCTGTAAAAAATTTCAACAAAATGAATATGAGCTGCAGAATTATTGGCAAAAACAAAGTCAAAATTCATGGTGTTTTAATGGTTTTTTTTTGAAATTGCTCTAATGGCTGTTATTTGTAACTATATGATTTCCAAATAATTAAAGGTGACTTGCATTGAGGTAATCACCTTATTAGGCTTGCCCATCCACTTAACTTCCCCACCAAGTTCTTCATATTTGGCTGCTAGCTTTCCTGAAATAGGGAAGCTAAAGAATCAAATGATGGAATACAAACTAGGTAATGAAAGCAATGACAGACTTCTTATATAAGATGCCGCAAATGAATCATACTCATTCATAAGCACAGAAGTAAATTGCTCCACTAGTAACATGTTTACCAATTACCAGGCATATCACATAGAACCCTTGCCTCAACTGTCACAAAGTCAGGATTTGCCACCACCATAGGAATTTTTCTAGCAGCACACTCCTCTAGTATTTTTTCAAGACCTTCAAGCTTCATTGGAAGTGTAGCTCCAGAGCAAAGCCCTATGGCCTCAGTCCCATGAGCTAGAATAAAACTAGCTTCATGAACATCTTCCACGACTTGTAACCCTAGGCCCTTTAGTAAAAAAGGCATTCAAAAAATTTAGTAATAAACAAAGCTTAGACATAATCACAGTTTACAATATTACATAATCTATGGAAGACTCGAAGGCAGCCAGAACTTTTCAAGTGTGCTCTAGATATATAAGTGTGTGTGCGTGTGCACATGTTTTGCAAATTTTAGCCTTATTTTTTGTGTTTTGAATTAACTTATTTTGTACTTGGGTGGGACCATGGGAGGGAGGGGAGGGGGTCATTGATGTATTCAATCACACCACTCTTAACTCTAAAGGAATAGTTGATAGTTGATGCATTACTACATTTACTTCCCAAAACTTCCTAGAATGTAAGAAATGAGGAAAGTGCAATTTTGGATGCATTCCGCTGAAAAATGAAAACCAGAAAAGTAAAGAGTTAACCTATAAATATGATTCCGATGAATAATAGATACAATCCAAAAACCGAAGATGAAATAATAAGAGAGGTTGTTTCGGTTAGACCCTGGATGCATTGCTACATTTACTACCTGAAACATCATAGTAAGAAGAATGGAAAGTTTAATTTTCCGTTTTGATTTAGTCCATTATTTGCCTCAAGCTAAAACATTGACAATAATTACTCTTTTAGCACAACAAGGATATGGCAAAAGAACTAAAAATTAAATAAAAATGTAAATATAATATTTTAGAAGTAAATACACGATAAAAGTACAAAAGAAAAGCCATTACTCCCTCTGTCATAATTTGAATTGCCTATTTTGGTTTACAATGTTTGATTGAATTTATTTTCAATGCAATTTATAAGAGAATTGGAGCAAAATTAACAAATAAATTTTACAAATTATAAACCAAATCAAAAGTTCTACGAAACAAGGAATGACATGACTATATTATTTTATCAAATGAGTAACGAAAAGTAAAAAAAGAAAGTGAATTAAGTTTGACCCTGTGAATAGTAAACAGACAACTTAATTTGGGATGGAGGGAGTACAATACTATTGAAGAGCCAAATCTAAAGCCACAAACACAAACTCTGATCTAAAGCCACAAATATACTCGCATAACTAATATGACTCTTTCAATGACCAAAAAATTTATAATTACCACATTAAACTAAAGCTCTCAACAAAAACATAATAAACAGTAGGACAAGAGTTTCATTCCCATTACGATTTCTATTTCAAATAAAATAAATTTCCATGAAAAGCACCTCTCAATCAGAGAATATTTTTGGAATGTGGCATCCGGGCAAAAAAGAAATTTATATTTTCTAGGCAAAACTGATAGAGATGATCCCCCACGTTTGAGCAATCAAACAAATATAATCTCAGAATGCTTCTAACATAAGTAATCCCAGGTTGTAATGTGGTTCACACCACTATCCCAAATTGAACTCCATTATAACTCCATCTATTTCCATTAGATTCTGTTATTTTCAGCCAAAAATATTTAAAAAAAATGTATTTCAATCATAACTTCTGACTCAGGTATCATATTTGAGGGATTAAAATGTTGTTAGAAAATTTACTGATAAAACTATTATACCTCCTCCACCCCCTCCCAAATCCTAAATTTAACTTATCAAGTTGACTTGGCATGCATATCAGGAGAAAATTGTGTGACTTTGGTTGAATTAGATTTTAGAAGTGAGAAAAATCATTTGGAACAAACTAAGCTATCCCCCAAAAGGTAATAAGATAAATTTTTGGGGCAATCCAAAAAGGAAAGTGGAGAAAATAAATTTTAGGACAGAACGAGTTTAAAACTAATATTTTGAAAACTTCATGTAAATACTCCAAGAAATTGAAGAAAAAATGCTATTTTAAATCAATCAGAACCCAAAGTCAAAGGTAATGGTTAAGATACGTTTTTTCACCAATTTGGGAAAAATAAAACGAAAATTGACGGAGTTATAACAGAATTGCGGCTGGGCCTATTGATGTGAACCACATTAAAATTTGAGATTATTTATGTCACAGGTGCATCTTGGGTATAATTTGGTTTGACCACTCAAACGTGGGATTATTTGTACCAGATTTTCATATTAATATAACTAATTAAAGGAAAAATTCACAACAATCCTCCTAGATTTGGCGGATTATATACTATTACTCTCTGATTCTCTTTAGCACGTCAATACTCTGAGAAATCGTCAAATTTTACATCCGTACTCCAGCCCGACTAAGTGAACTTTGAAATTAATTATGTGGAGCTATTTTGGCTGACATGATATCGAAAAATATTGAGTTGGCAACAAATCTAAAGTAATTGAATTAAATTGGAAGCCAATTGGACATTTTTGAATAATTGAATAACAGAAACCTAATTGAACCTTGTGAAATCGTCCATCTTTTAAAATTTATTAACCTTTATCAAGTAATTCAAAAAAGTATAAATGGATTCCAATGTAATTATATTATATTGAATATGCTATCAACTCATTGTTTCAAATATGACATCACGTAAAATACATCCACATAATTAAGTCCCACGCTGACTAAGCCGGACAAGAGCAGCGTGCAAAAGAGAATCATGGAGTAATATTGTATAATCCGCCAAATCTGGGACTATTGGTTTGAAAGGAAATGGATGGGGAAGGAAACAAGAGGAGGAGGGGAGTTCCTCCATTCCCTTCAAAACGCATCCCTCCAAATTGGAGCCATTTGGAGGGAGGGAGGAAGACAACACCACAATTCTCAACGAAATAAAAGAATTCCATTGGGAGTCTGGATCGGAATCATTCGGCTAATAAGATGGAAACAACAATTGATGAATTATCGATTCAAAGAAAACAAATTGAAGGCTTGGCAAAGACGAAGAACACTATTAATGAAGGCCTTTGATGGGGAAGAAAAGGAGCGTGAAAATCTTTGATCCAAAAGTGATATCATCCTCTCTCTTCCCCTCCTCTATAATACTTTCCCTTCCCTTTATTAAATTGTAACCCTTCAATCCAAGCATAGCCTTATCTTTGCTCGTACTTAGCATACCCTCTAAGAGTTTCCTAATAAAAGTCACAGTTCGATTTATTTCTTAAGAGGAAAAATTGGAGTTTCAATACCTCAAGAGATATAGCTCCTCTTTCATTCCAAGTCATATGAATGCAGGACCTACCGAGGAAAGCAAACCATGAATCATCCCTCCTGCACAATATAAACACCATGAAGAAACTTTTTAGTTGCTTAGATACATGTAAGCATAATACAAAAAGATGCAGGTCATTGAAAGAGTCGCGTCATGCAATAAAAAGTTGAAATGTCAAAATTTTAATTAGGGAAAGGCAGATATCTCATGACTTGGCAGTTGACACACTGTTAGGCACACCTATATACCTATGAGCACTAAACCAAACAGCTCAATCACTATGGCGCAGCCACTTTACAATTAAAAACATGATAAGCTTAAACTCTTCATCAGAAAATAAACTGTGCATTATGAAAAGGGCAATAAAATCTGCATGAAAACCTTTGTAGGTTCTGGTGTGTCAATTCTCCACTAGTAATTGCTCCCGCAAAGATAGATGAATCAAACCCAAGGTTCTTCAATTTTTCCAGTGTAACAGATGACCTCCTTGAAGAATTACTGATAACCACCATTTTCGCACCACATTCTTTCAGTTTTTCTACTGCTCATAAATGGATAGTAACATAAGCAAGTTGCAATACAATTTCACACATGCCAAATATATCCCACTCAGAAATATGAAATTTGCAAAAGTACACAACTAAAAAAACGCTAAGCTTTTCAAAATACGAAATCTAAAACATACATGTTGATATGGCACCAGGGTAAGGTTGTTTTCCATCATGAAGAACTCCAAATTGATCCAAAAACCATGCCTACAAACACAAGTGCTTTCCTATAGAATTTTGGCAATTGAAAAAACAAAGCCACTCAATAATTCCACATATTTTTAGCAGCTACTAAATTATCACAAACCTAGCTCAGCTGCTTGGAAATGTAGCATATTCTATCAAGTCTATTAGATTTAAATGATTCCTTGCACTCTCATTTAATATACTTGTATGGTGCCATGTTCTCCATGTAAAAGATGGATGCGGTCTTACATGAATGCTCTTATGTCTAAACATACCTGCACACTTTGGAACAACAACATTCGAGCACATGGAAAATGAATAATATTGCCTCTAAAATTTGAGCCATGTTACTCTTATCCAATATGATGTTACATATACAGGCTGTGTTTCCTAAGAGTGAAGAATATGATTCCACTAAATGAAGCCTTAGAGGGACATCTGCGAGGGAAGAAAACAGTGCAAAATGTAAGGGAACAGAAAAGGTATCCAATATGTGAAGGAATGTTTCAAGTTGGATGATATGACCTTGAGAATGGCTATCTCACTATAACCTTGAAAGGCTGTAACATTTGGCCACTCTCCTATTTCCGAATTCCAGAATTCAGGCCATTCGAGGGGAAGAAGAGAATGTTACATTAGGTGACAGCCTAACCCCAAGAATGTAAGAGAAACACAGGATATTGATATTTTAGTTTATTCTATATACAGAATACCGAATTCATGTGTGTGTGTGTGTGTGTGTATAGACTTTGGTTCAAATGAGAATGATGCACAGTGAAAGAAATGAGAATGCATATCCATTAGATTTAAAATCTAAGGGCTATTAAAAATCAAAAATTCCAAAAAAATTGAAAAACTTGCGGTTACAATTTTGTAAATAAATCAAACTTTTGAAAATGCACTACCACAAGTGTAAAATGCATCACGAAGGTCCAAAAATGCACCCATTCTCATTTTCTTGCAAAAAGGATATTCTTACCTGAACAGGCGTTTGAGGAATATGAGTGGGAATACTGGAAGAAGGGTGAACAGGCGAAGAGAGAAAAATACTAGAAAGGTCAGAAGGTGGATTTGGCAAGATAATGGACATGGTGAGATATGTGGTGGAAAGGGTAGTGATGCTCATGGAATTTCACATCCCTACTGTAGAAGACTTGTTTAGTTAGAAGATTAAGCTATTTGCAGGCTTTTTTATTGAAAGGATAGCCTAAAAACACACGGGGAATGGCCCTAGGAGCAAACTTGGTTCTGTGTAATGCAGCAAATTCGTTTTACCAATCCCGTGGCTAGAGAACTGATTTTTACTGAAAACAAAATTCCCCAAAAGATGCGTTCAATACAAGCCAGGTGTCCTATACATACAGATCAAACAAACTGGGAAAAAAAGGAGCAAAAAAGTGCTAACTACCCTAACAGAAAGGATAGCTAGCAACAAAAATATCTAGCTAACTAATTGGCTTCAAAAATACTTATGTTCTACACTGTCTGATCATGTTAAGTATGTCTTTCATTTCATTTTCTTGCGCAATAAACCCTAAGCTTTAAGTCCAATTTGGCTTTGTTACCTGTTTGGGTGTTATTGTATGGTACAACCGGATGTACCATGCATCATGACAAACTTGTAATTAAAACTTTGTTGTTTCAGAATGAACACTACGTTATTTTAGAATGAACACTGCATTGTTTGAGAATGAACACTACGTTGAGCAAGCTTGAAATGAACACCAGATGAACAATTGAACACTACGTTATTCGTAAATGAATATTATAATCGTAATGAACAAATGTGTAAAAATGAACACTACATCACTTCAAGCACTACGTTGATTTAATATGAACATTTGTTATGTGTACCTAGCTATAGGCTATCGGTATACCCAGATGTATAATATAGGCTCTCCCTGCTCGGGAGGGTTCCTTTCAAAACATTTAATATTAGAGCGTTGAAAAGGATTGAGGGTTCGTTTCTAACACTTGGTAACACAAGTTTTAGTTTTCAAGTAGGGAATGGATTTTTGAGAGCCTGAACAGGACCAATTAAAAGTATCCGCTACTACCGCACGAATTAATACAACTTAGAAGCTCAAGCAGTAGGTAAATCGCAAAGATTGCAATAGGGAATTCATAATTTGAGCAGATAACAAAGATCGAATAAAGAGAAATTGAAAGAATCAACATATGGGATGCAATTTAGCGTACCTTGAATCTTCCGGTTTCAGCAAGATGGTGAAGGCCATTCAACGTCTGAAACTGGAGGAGATCATTTGGCTTTGAAAATTGATGAACCGAGGACGATGAACTGCAGCTAGGCATGGTGGTCATCTGGTTTCGTTCTTCCGTTCCCCTCTCCCCATTTTTTTTACCACGCATTATATCGCTACAATTACCCAAAATACTGCTCTCAATTTTTTGTACTTTTCTAAGAATAATCTCACTTTGACACTTTTCACTACTTTTTCCATATGTGCGCAAGTTTTTGATCATCATTAGGAAGCTAACCGTCACTTAACGAATATTTTAATAAAAATCTATTTTTTGAAAATAAATGAAAGATGATATTATTTTAGATAAATTCACATATTTGTTTTTTAAAAATTTTCATTTTAAATATATATTTTTAAAAATATAATTGTACACTCTTATTTGAGATTTGTTTAAATTTTTATAAAAATAAAATGATTCACAAAATTGTGTTTCTGTTTTGTGGAAAATATAATAGTGAATTATCAAAACATAAATTGGAATATCCCTCGAGAAAGAAATGGTAATACAAAAAAGTTATCGTGAGTTATAAAAATTGTTACTGCCATTTTGGAGAAAAAAATGTTGTCATTTTCATAACTTTTGAATTGTTATTTTATGAAAAAAATCTATCCAGAACTATTGGAATATTAATAATTTTTGTAGTGCCATTTTGAAAAAAATAATACGAGTAATAATTGATTATCGATAAACATTTCGCAGTATTGCTCATGAAAAAAATTGTAATACAAAAAGCTAAGGCTGGTTTGTGCCAGAAGGGGGTCGGGTGATATTTTCGATCATAAAAGCTAACGCTAGTTTGTGCGGACAAGAAAAAAATTAGAATTATGCCTATTTAGAGAAGTTTAAGTTTGGACATAATATAAATAAATAAATATTATAAAATTTTGATATAAAAACTAAATCTTAAGATGAATCCAATTATATTAAAATTATATTATAATTCAATATACTTTTCTCATAATTTATGGTCAAAGAATGTCATTTTTTCATCAAAAAATCAAAATAAAAAGAGTTTTTATGACCGAAAGGAGTACAAAAAATAATTTTTTAAAAATAAATTTGGTATATATTTATCAAAAAAAGAATTTACCTAAAATAATCTCATCTTTCATTTATTTACGAAAGACAGGTATTTTTTAAAAGATTTGTTAAATAACCATTATCTTTTTAACGAAAATCCAAAACTCGCAAACATTCAGAAACGTAAGATTATTTCCCATGAGAGCAAAAAAGGTGATTATTTTTTGAAGAACACGAAAAGATAGAATTATTTTGGAAAAATTTTGCAAAAAAATTATCAGTAATTATCTCACTTTTCCGCATGTGTACAAGTTTTGAGTCACCGTTAAGAAGTTGACAGACTTCTTTAAATATGCCTATTTTCGAAAAATTAATGAAAGTTTGTTAAGTCTCGACTTATGTAGTATCGCTTCGAGCCAATACACACTCCAGCAAGGAGATTGGAGTTACAGGATTGCCAACAGGAGACGCATCCTTTTTTGCAAGAGAGGAAGAGACTACTGTTTGGGTTTTAATTCTTCATATATTCACAAATGGAAGAACAAGAAATATAAATAGGCAGCAGAATGAATAATGTCCACGCAGGGGCTACTGCTAACTTCCACATCCCCACGAATCTAGAAAAGTGGAAACTAACTACCCTCCCCTTAAGAAAAGGTCCACTGCTAACAAAATAGAAACAGTCAACATTACAAAGGAAATCAACTAAAATAATAAATGAATTAATGATAAAACAGTAAATCCCAATCACCTACTTCAAATTGCAGCTCACGACATTTTCTGTCAGCTTGCTGTTTCATGCGGAATTGGGCTATTTCCAAGTTCCTCTTTAATTCTTTGAGCAGCTCGTCTCGCTCCCTCAACACTTCATCCACCGAACTGACTTTACTAGACCCCGGCAAATACGGTAACAGCTTCGGCGGTGGCCGGCCGAACAAAGCTTGGAAAGGAGTCACTTTGATCGCAGAATGGTACCTAGTATTAAGCGAATATTCACCCCAAGCCAAAAACACCATCCAACGACTTGGCCGAGTGTGTGAGAATGCCCTTAAGTATTGTTCAAGCCCATGGTCCATGACTTCGGATTGGCCATCTGACTGTGGGTGGTAGGTCGTTGAGAAGGACAGCTTGGTGTCGCTTGCCTTGAACAATTCTTTCCAAAATTCGCAAGTGAACACCCGATCCCGGTCCGTCACAATGTTCTTTGGAATTCCATGGATCTTGACAATGACTTCCATCAAAGTACGTGCAACCTTAGGAGCATCGAAATCTGTTGGTAATCCCGCAAACCGTGCAAACTTTGACAAACAGTCTACAACCACCATAATTACGTACATCCGCAGGACAGCGGTAGCCCAGTTATAAAATCCATAGTAACAGCCTCAAACATGCCTTCAGGTATTGATCATGGCTGTAGAAGTCTCGCGGCTTGTTACGTCTCATACTTCGTGGCCTGACAAATCTCACACTTTTTGATAAAAGCCTCAATATCCTTATGCATCTTGGGCCAGAAAAATGACGACGTAATGCGTTTGAGAGTGCGAAGTACCCCCAGCATGGCCTCCAATCACTGAGGAGTGGTACTCGTGGAGCAATAACCGTTTCAATTGTGATTCACTACTCAAGCAAATTCGACGTCGGAAGCACACGATCCCTTCCACCACTACTTCATATTGATTTGGGAGGTTGCCTTTTTCCTTCATTTCATGCAGCTTCAATAAGTCACTACAACTTTGATTTTCCTTTCTCATAAGGTCTAATAAATCTATAGTCACACTCGTCAAAGCTAGCAATTCAGATTCGCAATGGTCCCGCCGAGATAAGGCATCAGCGACCTTGTTCGACGGGCCATGCTTATAGTCAACTCTGGATTTATATCCCAACAGCTTCCTAATGATGTAGAAGTGCTGGTCAGGAGTTTGCACTACCTGCTGCAACACTTCACGCATGCTTTTTTGATCAGAACGCATCATGAACTCCCGCCCCAATAGATATTGCCTCCATTTTTGGACGGCTTCGACGATCGCTAATAGTTCATTGTGATATGTTGAAGCCACCTGTTGACGGGGGCCTAATTTCTTGCAAAAATACGCCACTGGATGCTCCTCTTACAGAAGAACCGCACCGATTTCGGTGGCACAGGCGTTAGTTTCGACAACAAATGTCAATTCGAAATTCGGTAACCGCAACACCAATGCCTTCCCCATAAGTTCTTTAAGGTTCTCAAACGCATCGGTGGCCTGAGTTGTCCATATGAAGCTGTCCTTCTTCAGCAATTAGTGAGAGGGGCTGCGACCAAAGAATAGTTTCGCACAAACCTGCGATAATACCCGGTTAGGCCTAAAAAGCCTCGGAGTTGTTTTATGTTCTTCGGTCGTGGTCAGGCTTGCATAGCTTCCACGTTGGACCGGTCCACCAAGAGATTCTCATTTTCAATTAGGTGGCCTAGGTACTCTATCGTGGACACGCCAAATTGGCATTTACTCCTCTTCACATAAAAATGGTTAGCACTCAACAGCTTTAAGATCACCTCCAAATGATCACAATGTTGGAGTATATCATGGCCATACACTAAGATATCGTCAAAAAATACGATAACAAATTTGCGTAAAAAGTCCACGAATAACCTGTTCATGCATCTTTGAAATGTTGATGGGGCGTTGGTAAGCCCAAATGGCATTGCGAGAAATTCGTAGTGCCCTTTGTGAGTGTAGAATGACGTTTTGTGCACAATCTTTTTCGAACATTCGTACCTGGTGGTACCCCGACCGTAAATCCAATTTTGTAAATATTCGTGCGGCTTCCAATTCGTCAAACAATTCATCCGCTGTCGGAATGGGAAAATGATCTCGTATCGTTACGGCATTTAGGGCCCGATAGACGACACAAAATCGGTAGCTATCGTCCTTCTTTTTTACCAAAGGAACCGGCGATGAAAAGGGGTTCCGGCTCGGTTGAATTATTCCTTGCCCCAACATTTCTCGAACAAGCCTCTCGATCTCCATTTTTGGATATATGGATATCTTTAAGGCCGAACATTCACGGGCTCCACTCCGGGCTGAAAGAAAATGCGATGGTCACCCCAACGACGCGTCGGTAGTGTCTTGGGTGTTGGGGGAGAAGCCACAAGTAGGATACGACACCTACACGGATCAACTTCAAGACAACCAACCAAACACTTAACCCAATTTACCACAATTGATTAACCAAGCACACAAAATCAGCAACACATCAAATAAACCACAACCAAATATGAAAAATAAAGATGCAAACGACACACGATTTTTATACGAGGAAAACCCCTTCGATGTGAAGGATAAAAACCACGGGACTTATAGAGAGTCCGCCCCTTATTATGGAAATTGAGGGTAAAAACACCCAAAACTCAGTCGGCAAGGATGTCACAGCCCACCAACAACAACATACATAAGAGCCATCAATCAACAAGAGAGAAGAAAATTGAACAGATTGAAGCCCTAAGTGTTGGGAACAATCTATGAAAATTTCAGCTCAATCCAACGGTCAGATCTCCGGTGATGATAGAATTTGTGCAGCTGGTCTGAAAATTCTGCACCAGCCCTTCTCGCTCCCTCTATTCTGTTTTTGTTTCTCTGTTTGCTCTCTCTCTCTCTGTTTCTTCCGTAAGCACTGTCACTGTCCAGCCCTTTTACTCTCCTATTTTTTACTCAACAAAGTAAAAACATAATTGGGTCCTCCACCAAAGAAAAATGGAACCCAAATGAAAATGGGCTGGACCCACAACATTGGGCTCATCAAAGACCTGCTCATAGCGGCCCAATAATTCTCGGATGGGTGATGATATCTTAGATCCGTCCGGTTCAGGCCCTTTTTCTTCATGGTTTATAGCCCAAAATTCTATGCAATCAACAATTGACTGGGCAGCTTTCATACACCGTAATTGGTGTAACGACATGGGCTTCACCGGTTATTCCTCCCCACACAAGGTGATGACTCAGCTTGGTCCTGCCACAGAAACTCCATCGTCGTAGTCGTGCGTGATTCGTCCCAATGAACGGAGCCACTGTACACCCAAGACAACATCGTGGCCGTGTACCGCGAGGACGAATAAATCCACTCTAAAGTTGTGTTTCTGGACCAACGACAGTGGTACCTGTTGACATTGAGCTTGGCACGTCAAGGAGTCCCCATTCCCTACGTAGACTCTAAAAGCTTCCAACGCCAATTTCGGTTTCTCCGCCGTCTTCGGATGGATGAAATTGTGTGTGCTTCCTCCGTCAACTAGCACATCCAAAACGTGACCCATATATAATTTCCCCTTTAAGCCGGATGATGGATCGAGGAGTACGTAGTTGACCCAGCCAAACTTTGCAAGACAGAAACATCTCCCTCCCTCAAATATGGCTTCAGTCTCTTCTTCCATGCTATCTCCTTCGTCATCCCCTTCACTAGTGACCAGCAAAGAATATCGGTCGTTACAGCTAGCGGTATCCACGAGACCATTTTTCTGGGCATGCAGAAACAACACTCCCCATGAGCATCCTTCGATCTCCACCTTCTCTGCCGGCGATATACGGCGTACGGGTTTCGCCGGGACGCCTCTGGGTGTGGCCAAGATCGGGGCCTTGCTGGGTGGAAGGTAAGGAGTGATGGGGGCTTGGGGTGGAGCTGGATGGGTTTGGAGTGCTTGCAGACTTGGTGAAGGTGGGATCCCAATTCCTGCAGTTCGGGTTCTAGAGCTCGTCATACTTAGCCGCCGTCTCTCGGGCTAGGGCAAAGGCTCCATTCAGTGTAGTAGGCTGGTTCACGCGTAACTCCCTGCGTACCGGGTCCTTTAGGCCTGATATGTAAACAAATATCAGTGTGGTTTAATTTCTGGTACACCTTCAACTTTGTTCATTAGCCTTTCAAATTCTGTTTGATAAGCCATGATGGTAGTTGTTTGCTGTAGCTTCGAGAGTAGACTAAAGTAGTCCTCGTACATCTTGGGATCAAAACGGAACTTGAATTGTTCTTTCGAAAGCGGCCCACGTACTGATCAAGTCATTCTGCTTCATCATATCCTTCGGAACCATTCAACCGCAGCGCCGTCGAGCATCAATCCAGTCACCGCGTTCATCATATCCTCCAGTGTATTTGTAACGACCCAAAAACCAGCTTAGTAGTTAGCCGTTATTTTAATAAAAGTAAATATTAAATTTATTTACTCTAAAATATGAATTATTTGTAAAGTTATCCGTTTTAAATGAAAATTGGGTTTTCGGATAGGTCTCGTAAAATGATGACCAACGATATAAAGTTTGCTAAGTTTGGATATACGTATAAAGCGTGGTGAGTAAAATAAACATTACAGTTCAAGGAATAAATATAAGGATTTTTATAATAAAATATATATATAAATATACTATTCCTACTCCTAATTGGAAACGAGAATCCCTCCCCCCTCTAATTCTATAAATACGCACACGCGTGGGAGGGACCGGAGTATTTTCTCTACGGAGTACGTCTTGCGCGAAAGGGAAGGAACCAGAACAGAGATCGATTGCGGAAGGGAGTCCAGGCCAGGTGACTGCTCCGCCATCGCTGGACTGCATCGGGAATCAGGCAGTTGACCACCACCGCCGGTCAGTTGACATCTCTGCTCCGCCAGCCGCTGACCGCCGTGCCGCCGCCGCGGGGATCGCCGGAAACAGCCCGACCAATTGATTCTTGTTTTGTTTAATTCACCAATTGATCAAGGTCAGAACTTGCACATCTAACGCTAGATTACGTATATAGATTTGAAATTCACGTTCGTAGTTTCGTATGATTGATTACGTGGTTTATTTGTTTATAATTGAATTGTGATTTATTTATATCTTATGATAATATTGGAATTGATTGAACGAGGATGACCAGGTATGTATTCTTACTCTAAATTGTGTGGTTTGCATGATAATAATCTTTAAAAACGTTGTACATATTGTATGGTTTGGAATTGGATCGAAATCTGTCGTTCCGGTGACTTCCCGACGTCAGACGGTAGCTAGGTACCGCCTAACGGTACCGTGCTACCGCCACTGAAGGTTGCCACTGCCGGTATCTGCGCCCGCACGGTACGGGGGTACCGGACCGACGGTACCAAGGTACCGCCTGGCGGTACTGAGGTACCGTAAGGGGTACCGGACCGACAGACTGTTCGATCGATTCTTCGTCTGTTTGTTCTGTTTCAACTTCTGGAATGTTCCCTATGCCTTGTGTGTTGCATGACGGTAAGTGGAAGGTGTTTACACCTGACACTAGGCCGCTAAATGAGTTGCTTGGTGGATTACCTGATTATTGTAACCCTTCTGTTATAATTAAATATAATCTTGTTGTGTTTAAAAAGTACATAAGGAACTGGGATTGATGTGGAATAAGCCTGAACCATAGAGATATTGTAAATAAATGACTAGGCTACCTAGGGGAACTCTAGGACTGCCTTAGTAAGATTATAAGCATAAATGTCAATAGATAGGATCAGCCCTGGGGATCTGATATCCGGCGGCTGCGGGTTAAAACGTACGTACGGGATCCAAGAACTGTCGTTCCGAAGGGGACAGGGGTACCACCCACCCAGCGGAGAACTCCTTCGTTGGTCATCAAGTTGTGTTGTGTCATAAGGTATTGAATAAGGTAGACTTGAGTCATGGTCGTAGGTAGTGACTCTAAGTCCGAACATAAGGTTGTAAATATGGAAGTATGAACTTAGTCTGGTAATTATGTTATGAGCTATGAATAAAGAGGAAATGAGGTTATGATTTGTGACTTGTAAATTTATTTAATGACTGCTATGTTTTATTATATTGTATACTTATGTGCATGATATTGTATGGAATTATGAGCTAGTGGGTTTGTCTATGTGTGTAGTCGAACGTTAGATAGATTCCACTCAACTTCAATGCTGAGCGTGTAGCCCTTTTTCCTATTTGCTACACGTAGGTAACAGGAACGATGAATAATGAGACGGTCTTGGAGGCAGCAAGGGCGAAGAGATGGACTATGCTAGCTGGAGGAGTTTATTATTTAATATTTAAGTGTAAAGTAATTATGTCTTTTAAGGGCAAGAACCCAAAGTTGTATTTTGTTTAAGTACTTAAAGGCTTCCGCATCGTTTTGATCTACTCTGATGGATGTTTAAATATTGTTTTGAATTAAATATTTTTAAATTGTTTTGGAAATTGTTGCGTTTGAATGCCAATCTAGTAGCAACCCGATCCGCTGGTCCTTGTATTCGGGTCACGCGGGTTGGGGTGTTACAGTATTGTTGAACTCAAAGAACTCGGTGCCATTGAACAACCAAACCACGTATGTGGATCACTACAATCCGTGATTGGGGGATCCATCTTGAACTTGGAAAATTGTGACTCATGCCTTCGCCTTTGCTAGAATTCCCCGATCGGCCATGGCTCATCGAAATGGGAATTCTAGCCTTCCACGTGATCCACTCGATTGCTCAAAGAATCGATCTTCTTGTGCACTGATATGATTTCCTGATGTATAGCACCCTTCTAGATTTCTGAAAATTCCTGGAACATCTCTACCAACCGTTTCTCCATGGCTGCATGCAGCTAGTGCCATCGCCGAATTCGGATCGGGTGGTGACGTCATCTCTCAATGAGAGCACCAAATATTAAGTCTCGACTTATGTAGTATCGCTTCGAGAGCCGATATACACTCCAGCTCGAGCAAGGAGATTGGAGTTAGAGGATTGCCAACGGGAAAGCTGGTTGACGCAACCTTTTTTGCAAGAGAGGAAGAGACTACTGTTTGGTGGGTTTTAATTCTTCATATATTCACAAATGGAAGAACAACAAATATAAATAGGCAGCAGAATGAATAATGCCCACGCAGGGGCTACTGCTAACTTCCACATCCCCACTAATCTAGAAAAGTGGAAACTAACTACCCCCCCCCCCCTTAAGAAAAGGTCCACTGCTAACAAAATAGAAACAATCAACATTACAAAGGAAATCAACTAAAATAATAAATGAATTAATGATAAAACAGTAAATCACTTGAAATAATCTTTCAAGTCTCACGGATATGATTCACCAGGAATAATCCTCCAGGTACTTCGGAGTCCCACGAGCTCGACCCGATCGACGTACCGGCGGCGCCGGTGACTTCTTCAACCTCGTATCAAAGGTGGAATTATTTACTC